CTGACAAAGATATAGTATAAAGATAACATTTTGAAGGCAGTAATACATATATTTGTACAATCCCAAAACAGTCCAGTCCAATACGAAAATTCGTAATATTACGAAGAAACGTAGGATTATGAAAAAGAGTAATATTACAAGTTATCGTAATATAAAACTTATATTACAATTTTTCGTAATGTAGTTAAATTACGAATACGCATAATATAGCAGATTGTAAGAGACTATATTTTTTGAGTTTTTGTAATCCAAGACAAATTCAAGGATTGCAAGAAATTGAGTCATGGGTAGCAAAGTATGACGTCATTAATATATCAGATTCCACATCTTTTGATAGCACGCGGTCAGTTTGGTCAGTTACACCTATCAGAAAGCATGGAAATTCAAGAAGAAAGTACCGCCAGCAATGGGTGAGTGGACAATTTCTTTTATTATTAAGGTCTTCCGTTTCCAACGGAAGACCTTCTACTGATTCTGATGATTAAGATTATTCTTATTATTCTTTTTTTTTCCTTTTCCTAGATGCCAACTTTGAGGCCTCATATTTCACTCATTTCTCAATGGATTTTGCTAAAATTTTCAGAGTTTATAGACGTTACTAAACTCTATCAGAATGCTATCTAAAATTTCAAAAAGTCACTTCCGGTTTGGAGTTATTTCCCTTTAAACGAAAATTTATAGGCTTTCGTTTCCAGACAAAGGCTCAGAGACGGCTAAAGCTGGAGCAGAAATTTTACTGATTTTAGATAATACAAGGATTGAAGTTGTGCATGGCAGTTTTTGTTTTTCGATTTCTCTATTCAAAATGGCGCTATATAGGGGTAAAAAATTAGAAAGCCAAAAAGAGCAAAAATTTACACATATTTTGCTTTTTATCTTCTAAACTAAAAAACATTTAGAACAAAATTTGTGCAGAATTACAAGATCTTTCAAATGATATCTCGAAAAAAGGGCTGACCCCTAAATTAAGGGATCTAGAGGGGCCAAAAGTTTTTTCCAGATATCTCAAAAAGTATTGAGAATTTGTAATATATCCAAGAAGCAAAGTTGTTCAAAACGTCAAGCTTAATCTATTGAAGTCGTCAAAATGCGTCCGGCGACGTCACTTCCGGTCAAACCGGAAGTAGTCAGAAAATGCATATTTTTGCCGTTCTAGACAAGTTTTTGGGTAACATATGTCACTGGAAGCATAAAACTTAATTTTCCGTCCATCGACATCACTTCCGGTCAAACCGGAAGTAGCCAAAAATAGTTTATTTTTTAAAGTTTTGATGCAAAATTGAAATTATAAAGTGACTGGAGACGACTAAGCTCATTGCTTTCTTTTGTTGACTCACTTCCGGTCAAACAGGACGGAAGACCTACTCGTTGCTTTGCAACGAGCTTTGCTCTAGTTCTTTTATAGGAATTTTCTCAAGGATAAGGCCAATTTTCCAGTAAATTTCAATATTCGCTTAAGCATGTCGCATTGGTCTATATCACCCAAAATCCCTATTTTTCTTGCTAAGTCTACCCTAAAAATCACACCCTCGTCTCATAATACAAGTGTTCGTGCAATTCTTATTGAAATACACAGAATTCAAATCTCAGTAGGAGTCGTACAAGTTATCGCCCGTGACATCTCGTAGTAAACGTCATACTTTGCTACCCGCCACTCAATTTCTTGCAATGCTTGAATTTGTCTTGGATTACGAAAACTCGTAATATAGTTTCTACAATCTGCTATATTAAGCGTATTCGTAATTTAACTACATTACGAAAAATTGTAATATAAGTTTTATATTACGATAACTTGTAATACTATGCTTTCTCGTAATCTTACGTTTTTTTCGTAATATTACATTGTACGAATTTTTGTATTGGACTGGACTGCAAAAGACAATTTTGTTATTTTTTATTGGTATTATTTAAACAATAAAATGCTTTCTTTATTTGTTGTTACTGGAATGAACGGAAGCAGCTGTTGCAGAAAAAATACATAACCCGCGTAAGCGGGTTATGTAATTTTTTTCTGCAATAGCTGCGACCATTCATTCTAGTAATAACAAAGAAAGAAAGACATTTTATTGTTTATATTTATATCTGTTTAAATTATCATTTTAAGTATCATTTTAAGTAGGATTAAAAATATTAATTATTGTGTTAATGATGCGAACGTCTTTGTATGTTTCATTGATGGAACGGCCACTGATCAAGAAATCTGTACAGGTGATATGCCTAATGTAGTTTATGCAAGGATGAACGCAATGGGTTTTCTGAAGAAATAAAGAAGAAAATATTCAGTGAATGTAAATATATCAAACTCAACCCCCATCTGGGCCATGATCTAAAGAAATTCGAATTTTTCACTATAAATGGAAATTTTAAAATAAAATAACATTACTAACTGTATGGTCATCTTGTTTTTCAAAAGCAGATATTTGATTTTTCGAAAATTAAAAGCAAGTCCTTTCCTGTGATTCCTTTGTAGATGCAACCATGATTTCGAAACTTTATTTTGTGCTACATGAGGAAGGTTTCACTATGAGTGCTGTCTTATTATGCCCCAGAAGTGGAGAATTTGTGGTCCGAAGAGTTTTTGTTCTGTCCATCTGTCTGTTTATCTATTTGTGTTTGTCTTCAAATACTTTAAAGCAATATTAGCTGCATTTTTGAAAATTTTATTCACCTTTATACACGTATTTAAATGTGTTATTTTGATAAATATTTATGTAATTTAAACATTTATGGTTAATTATACTAAAATTAAGAACTAAGCTGTTTCAGAAGAAATGCTTTTGTACAATCAATTACATAGGATTATTTAAAAAAAATGTTTACAGGACAACAATAATTCAATTTTGCTTCAAACATAGCTCATAAATAGTTCTTCCATTGCAAATATGAGCAACAACAGTTTATAAACTTAACATTCTTTTTCTCTGTCCCTGAAATAGTTAATTACAATCTTGCAAGTTGCAACAAAAATTTCTGACATCTAAATTGCAGCTCATATTGCTTTAACTAAGCTTGTCTGTAACTTTTGACTGGGCATGGCTTTCATACAGACCTTGTATTCCATGTGACAAGGCCTTTTTTTGGTACCACCAAATATTATTTCTTGACCTTGGAGTTTGGTACTCTTTTACAAAAAATACCAAACTTTAACCAGTAAACTTTGGTCATAACTTTTGAACTGTTGGTGGTTAGACTTTCATACTTCATAAGTGTATTCATGGTGACAAGACCATTCAGTTGGTACATGTATAACTATTTTTGACCTTTCCACCTTGGCAAAAAAATTAACCTTGTCAGCAACTTTTGAACAGTTATATCTATAAGGACTCTCATATTTCACAGGAATATTCCTTGGGAAAGGACCTTCTAATAAATTTTCATGAATCAATTCAGTACGTGAATTATATGTGCAAGGCAGCTGGCTACTTTAGAAGAGTTAAAATAAATTATAGAGAGGGTTTACTCTTAATTATTAATTTTTAATTAAACAAGATGTGTTTGTGAAACACTATACGCCCGGCAGCAACAAAGTTCGAAAAAAAGCATAAAGGTTAAAGTCAAGGTCACAAGGTCAATATCCTTGGTGCCATTTGAAAGCACTTAATTAGTGGAGTATGCATAATAAATATGACGTCTCCTTCTTCTATGATTCAAAAGTAATTTCAAAAGTTTGAAAAAGCTATTTTTAGCATATAGATCACAGTCAAGGTCAACAAAGTCATTTACCTTGGTTTCATTTAAAATAACTCAATTAGTGGAGTATGCATTCAAACATGAAGTCTCTATTGCTTATGGTTCAAAAGTAATTGCAAAAGTTAGAAAAGGGTATTTTTAGCACATATCACACAGTCAAGGTCACAAGGCCATTGACCTTAATTGTTGTCATTTGAAACAGCTTGTGAGCATGCATAAGTAATATGAAGTCTCTATCTCTCATGGTTCAAAAGTTATGGCAAAGGTTAACATTGACAACAGACAAATATACACACTGGATCCATCAATTCGGTCACATAAAAATATATGTACTTATGAAAGTTATCTTAATACTACAGTAGTAGTAACAATGAATAAGAATTCAGCCAAGTAAGAAATCAGCTGTCATCAGGAGTGCTAATTTAAATCTTCAGTACACATAGACCAGGAAGTAAAATATAACACAAGTAAGTGGGTCATGTGATACCCATACAGAGATTGTACAAGTATTTTGCCGACAAGACAGACGCCATTAAATTTTGCGGGTAACACATAAGTGGGTCATATGATTACCTGGCATACAGAGATTGTACAATTTGGCTGACAAGACAGTCCCTACAGGTAACATTCATGCATGAATTCATCAAGTCCAGTACAATCACTAGATTTAGCTACGTAGGTAGAATTACCTACGTAGCTTTATTTACCTACTTCAGGTAGCTTTATTTAGCTATTTCAAGGTAAGTTTTCAAAAGTTTTCTTTTTATTAAAGAGACAAAAAGTCGCAATTAAATGACTTTTGAAATTTATACTAGGGAGGCTTAAAAAAACAATCCAAAGCAGAGATACTTTATACATTGCTGCGTTTGGACAATTTAGAGCAAAACATATAATTCCATTGTTTGGTTAACTGTCCTATCTATTGGGCCCGGTGAGGCATGACTGAGTATGAATACTTCACATTGTGCTGAATAATTACCGACCTATTATCGTGTTAACCGGAACTGGACTTCTTTGTCATTTCATTCAAAGAGTAACTGTTCAAAACTTTCAGAACTTTGATTGCAATTGCGCAGAAAAAGACATTTTTCCAAGAGGGATTTTTTCATGAGTTGTTTTCAGATGAGTTCAAAGTTGAAAATGATCACTGCATCAAAATGATATTTTCTGCACACCCTGAGAAAAATGCTTTTTAATAGAAATAAATCAATTTGGTAGCTAAATAAAGCTACCTCAGGTAGGTAAATAAAGCTATGTAGGTAAATCAAGCTACGTAGCTAAATCTAGTGATTGTACCAGACCTGTTTATT